TTTCTTTCCCTAAAAGGTTCTTGTTGTACATTCCCTTCTATCTGAAGAAACTATGAAGCAAAAACTTATAAAGAAGAACAGTTGATGTTTTTCTTGTAATTGGCCAAAAATTATTGCAAAGGTCCAGCAATTGGTCTGAAGAATAGTTTGACCGACCATTTCTGCAAATTACTTATAGGGGTATATCTCAACCCAGGGTTCGTTGAAACTCCAATGCACACTGTTATTGACCTCATTCACGTGGGCTTAGTATTGAAAGTATGTTAATACATTAGAGTATGCCCTGCCTATTTCTTATTGATGGGATAATGACACATACATTATCACTTCCTACGGATGCACGGACCTTTTAAACAAAATCTCATAAACATTTTCTAAAATTTGAGCAGCCCCTTATATTTTCATGGATTTGACATAATGTGCTCAAAATTGTAGAATCTATTGGACTTCAGCTAATGATGTTGCAGTGTACTGTGACACTGCTTGATATGAGGACTTTCTTTGCTTTGTCTGTTTGCACTGAGCAAATTTTGTTAAGTGAGCAATAGAAAATGGCAACCAGGAAGAGAAAACATTGAAGAGACCAATTACTAAAGGGTGTTGAGAGGTGTTTATATGTCTGTGTGTGTCTTTAGTTCCATTTTAGTTACTTCATGAAATATAAATTAAGTGATTGACCCTTACTCCCATGTTTATATTTTTGGGTTGAAAGGTTAAACACAACTATGATTTTCTTGGTCTATATGCTCTATAGTGAGCCGTATGAGAGGTATTAGTTTAACTTAGATTAAGTGATTGAATTAAACTTTGCAATTAAAATAAACTCTAATTTTCAAGATAGCTCTATATGATTTGAGTGATCGAGTTGGCTTTTGACGTAAAAGACACTTGATGATGGTCAATAGCTTCCAGGCAATGGGGACTAATGCTTATAGTAATCTTTGTTGCTGAAATCAATAACAACCATCGTATTGTTTGAATACTAGATTCTCCGAAATTCAAATCTAGCTTTGTTGAATGTATTCCTACCTTCTCAACAAAATGAGCTGTAGTTTTCTTATATCCTTCTAAAATCCACAAAGTTTAATTTACTTTTTTCTTAAAATTAATATGTTTCCTTTGAAGCCTTTATGTTCTATATATTCCAGAATCCTGGTTTTCAGTCTACGAGAAACCTCCTATAGCATATGTGAAATTGGAGATCATAGAAGCAACTGATATGAAACCTTCAGATCTAAATGGTAATTGCATGGCTTCTTTATTTTATCAATACAACTCACATCTAACTGATCATATTCTAAGTTTGAAATTTAGATTTTCTTAAAAATGCTAAATTTTTAATCTGCAGGTCTTTCTGACCCTTATGTGAAAGGCCATCTTTATAATTATAGATTCCGAACAAAGGTTCACAAGAAAACCTTGTCTCCAAAGTGGTTTGAGGAGTTCAAGATCCCAATTTCATCATGGGAAGTGCCAAATATATTGTATCTTGAGGTTTGTGATAAGGACCACATCTTTGATGACTTGCTCGGGTACGGTTTTACTCAATAATTTTTTTTTTGAAGATTTCTTACTTGATTGTTTATGCGTTACTATTCACAGAACTAAGATCTTATTCATTGATAATAGTAGTTTGTCGTTCTTTCTTTTCTTCCTTCAAACTTAGGTGGACTTTTTACTTGAATGAGTTTTTATTTTGTACATGATAATAGTAGGCAAGCTTAGGTCCTGTTTGGGATTAATTTATTTATTTATTTTTAATTTTATTTTTCTTTTATTTTTAAAGATGTATTTGTTTATTGTGTTTTAGATATGTTTTTCCTAATATTTTTAAAAAAGTTGGTTTGCTAGACCACAACTCTACTTTTCAAGCCCATCATGCTTTGTCTACCCGACTTTCATATTTACATACATAGCACTTGGTGCTTTAAAACTATTAATGAAAAGGTGCATTTTACTTTTAAAAAAATGGTAATAGTGCTATTTTCTATGTGATATTAAAGTTTTGAATGCTATGTATGTAAATATGAAAGTTAAGTGTTGAGATATATAAATACATAAGAATTGTTTTCTATGTATGTAAATGTCCTAAAAATTTTCAGTATCATTTTACCCCTTTTATTCCTAACTATGTTAGTTATGGGAAAAAACATCATTCTTCTTTGTCTTTTTCCTTAATTTTTTTTTTCACAAGTATAAACTAAAAGTTTATTTCCAAAAGAAATTATTGCTAAAAAATCACCTTCATTTCATTGATAGCAGACTTATATAGAGCCTTACAAGTTACAACATTGACAAATAAATCCCTAAACTTTTTCTATTTGCAAATAAGACCTTACATTAGATACAAATTTTAACATTCTCCCTCAAGTTCGGCAAAGATGTTCACTAGGCCCATCTTGTCATATAACTTAGACAAATCTAATGAGCCAAGTCCTTTGGTGAGATAGAGAGTCACTTGCTCTCTAGTGGCTACATGACATAGCTTCAGTAGTCTGTTATTCAGCTTTTTTTTGATGAATAACCTATTAATCTCCATATGTTTGGTTTTATCATGTTGCACCGGGTTGTTAGCAATGTTAATTGCCGACTTGTTTTAATATCATCATTTGAGTTCTCTCATCCATTTTGAGTTCAACCAACAAGGCTTTCAACCACATCAACTGAACTCCTAATGTCATGGCCTTATATTCTCTCTCTGTTGTTGATCTTACTACAACTGATTGTTGATTGCTCTTTCACGAGACCAAGTTGCCACTTACAAGCATGCAATATTCTGACGTGGGTCGTCTGTCATGAACACAACTTGTTCAGTCAGAATCACAGAAGCCCTCAATATCTACATACCATTTCTTCTTGAATATCAACCATTTTTCTTGGTGCACTCTTCAAATACCTCAGAATCTGATACTCTACTTCTATATGACCCTTTTTTGTATCATGCATGTAGCGGCTCACCACACTTAATACAAAAGAAATATCTGGTCGAGTGTAGCACAAATAGATCAGGCGGCCCACCAACCTCTGGTACCTATGACGATCAACTGATTCACCTACCTCTATATTGAACTTGACCTTCTGATCAATTGGAGAGATTGCAGGTATGCACCATCGCATGACTGTCTCTCTGAGAAGATCCAGTACATGTTTTCTCTGGAATAGGGTCTTTCCCTCAGGTCCATGGGCCACTTAAATCTCAAGAAAGTATCTAAGTTGTCCCAGATCTTTTACCTCAAATTGCTTTCTCAATCTTCCCTTTAGTTAAGCGATCTTTGTCTCATCATCAGCAGTGATAATTATGTCACCTCCACTACTCACTCTCTCGTGTCTCATATCTCTAGTGTCTGTTAAGTCATCGAAAGGGTGAATTCACCTCCAGAGTGTAGTATGATTCAAACTCTCTAAATGACGTATTCATACTCACAAACAGTCTCTTCTCAATTGAGCTCCAGCTGACATAACCTTTCTAAGTAGCAGAATAACTCACAGACGCACATTTCATTACTCTTGGATCCAACTTCCCTACAAATGGTCTATCGTCTTTCACAAAGCATATACATCCAAATACCCTCAATGGAAGGATCCCACTATTGTCTCCTTTCAACATCTGACAAAAAGGCTTCCACGCCAGCACTCTTGAAGGCACCCTGTTAATCAATTGAGCGGCTGTCAGCACGGCTTACCCCCACGAGTGTTTTGGGACATTCATAGTCATCACATGTTTCAGGCTACCTCTAAAAGATGCCGATTCTTCCTCTTTGCTACTTTATTCTGTGTTGGTGTGTATGGGCATATGCTTTGGTGTTGTATCCCTTGAGCTAACAGCAGTCCCCAAATACTTTATTAATATTTTCTAGCTCATTAGCATATTGCAGTACATTCACAACTGCACTATATTGGGTCTGGATTGCCTTATGAAAATCATTAAAGCAAGCAACTACCTCACTCTTCTGTTTCACCAAGTGTATCCAGGTAATACGAGAAAAGAAATCAAGAAACATAACAAAATACCGATAACCATTCATAGAACTAGTAGGACAAGGTCCCAATACATCAGTATCTATCCAATCAAACGCACTAGAGCTCCTATTCCCAAAACTCATAAGCATCGCACCAATTTCTCCTTATTTGCCTTTTCATACATATATGGGTACAATCGACTCAGTACATAGACTAGAACATCTCATATATCTGTAATGTAGTAGTAAGTCATCCCCGACATTTCTCCCATATTCTTCTACTGCAGCACTTTCCTCCATGGATGTTAGAGGCGAGTCCGTCCATTCTCGGTCCAAGTACCTGAGTCTGTTATACCATGTTTCAATCTCAAGTGTTCGGTCTGTCTCTTTCTCTTGAAAGATCACATGAGGAATATCCAAAGAAATATTATATTTTAACTGGAGTATAATGACACTAGTGGATTAAATGATTACTGGAAAAGGAGCTTGCAAAACATTGGGCAAAGTCGTATGATTGGTACATCTCACTGTACACTTACTAACTACAGGTTGTGATGTATTATCAACAATATGTATGCTCTCCAGTACTACTAGATGAGCATATGAAGAGAACTCTCAAACAGTACTTGTCACGTGGTGAGAAGCAGTAGAGTCTATGATCCATTTTGATGATTCTATGGTGGAAATAGAGGCAAGAGCAAGTGTGTCACCATTACATTTGCTGAAGCGAGTATAAGTGGCAATGTTACCCCTTGATGTCGATGGCTTTGAAACATCCTCAGCTCCATCTCCTACTGTTTTCTGCTTCCTCTTGAACAGCTTCAGACACTCATGATCCTCACTAATAAAGATCACACATGTCTCTCCCTCATCCTCTGCTACCATTAGATTTGCCCGATAGCCCCCCTTTTCCATCTTTCAGACCCTACGACTATGACCACAACCTCCACCTTATTCACGTGCACCTATTTCTCTCTTTTTAGGTGGCTTACTACAAACCCTGCTCAGATGGCCAACTTCACCACAGTTGTGGAATTTTTGAGTCTCTCTCTGGACTCTTAGCATGCTTGGGCTCGCAGCAGTCAATGCTGATCATGTACCCGAGAAATCACTTAGCTCAGAGTATAGCTTCATGCGACTCTCCTCTTATATCATCGCAGTAATGGCCTCATCTAGTGTAGGAATAGTGGCTTAAGCTAGGAGAACTGATCTCCTATAATCAAATGTGGGGATTAGATGAGCCAAAAACTGCATATTTTTCATATGTGCAAAGATATCTCCCTTCTTGCACTCCGGATCACCGCAACTCGACATATGTAAGAAGTGATCAAGATCTTGTCATAGCCACTCTAGACCGATAAAGTACTCATGAATCGATCTATAAATCACTGTCTCTATCTCACACTGAATCTGAAACACACTCATGCGGTTCTCAACTCCAACATAAATCTCCAGCTTCGCCCAAATGTCGCTTACCCTTCAAATGACATCTACTAATGAAGCAATAGATGAACCATCGAGTTATGTAGTCAAGCGTAAAGCAAGACATGTGTGGTCCTCGACTCATCCCTCTCATCACCGTCACTCTTTGGCTTAACCTCGGTCAGGTATTCTTCTGGTCATTTCCCTACTAAAGCACCTCGATCCGACGTGACCAACTCAGACATATGGTCGGTCCACCGAGCTTCAGATCCATATGAGGGAGATCTAGCTTCACATGCGATGGAGCATGTGTTTAGATAGTGGCTCTCGTCAAGGTGTTTGCTCCCTGTATGAGCCCAATCAAGACTTTTAAAACTTTTTGATCCATTTTGCCCATAATTTTTAATCCCATGCCTCCGGCATTATCTCCTTCTCTTGATATTTTTAATCACAAGGAACAAGTCTAGCGCTCCAGAAACAAAGGCCCTGTCTTTCTTACTCCCAAACCTCAAGCAAGACCGCACCAGGCCCACCTCTCTATGCTGCGATAACGGGACTGCTGCCTATGAAAATCGCCTAAACTGCTCTCGCCTCCCTGTTTGAAGACGAGGCCTCCTCTGTTAGCTTTGATCGCCACTGCTTCGTCAGGACGACGCTGATCCCGACCCTACTCTGGCTTCTTCGCGATTCCAGCTCCCAGCTCCCAGCTCGTTCGTCGCCGCTGCTTCGCGATACCGACTTGTCACAGCCCCAATCAAGACTGGCAGGACAATGCCGATCCCTGCTGGTCGCAGCTCGCGAGGACGATGCCGAAGAAGTTTCCGGATGGAGCGGGTGGCGGTAGGTTAGGGCTGTGATACCAAATAATAAAAAATTATCATTTCATTAATGTTGAGAGTTACAATATTTATAAATTAATTATTAGATTTCATCTATTTATAAATAGAACCTACGGTAGATACAAATCTCAATTTTTACTATGCAGAGATTGTTCGGTGAACATCAGCGACTTAAGGGGCGGCCAGAGGCATGATAAATGGCTGGCTTTGAAGAACGTAAAAAAGGGAAAACTGCATTTGGCCATCACCATACATGAAGATGAGACTGTAAGTGGTTGCAATAGAAATGCTTTTCTTATATTGATCACATGTCTGACAATTATCTCTAACCACATTTCATGATTTAATCAGGAATTATCCAAACTGAGAGAGGCCACTACTCCTAATCCAAATTCAAAGGCACAACACAATAATACTGATTCATCTTTGGAAGAACATCAACAAATGGCTGATGAATTTGAGCCCATCAATATAGAAGGGCAAGAAAAAACAGGATTATGGGTACACCGCCCTGGGAAAGATGTCTCTCAAACATGGGAGCCCAGAAAAGGAAGATCACGCCGTGTATCCGAAACGGAGCTGCAGCCACAGTGCAGTGAAGCCCTTGACAGCTTAATCCCAGAAGGATCTGGCAGTGATGAAAATGTAGATGGGAAGAAAATTAGCCGTCGTAGAACAATAGGGAGGCGGCTCCAAAAACTTGGTTCTTATTTTCAGAGGAGCCCAAAGAGGCAAAATTCTAGAGAAGCAAAGGTGGTTAGTTCTGCCCAACCTCCCAACATCAGGGCAGTTGAGGTGCAGGGAACAGCAGTCAGGATCATACTTGATGAGAGCGTTATTTCTGAGTCTGGAGAACTGACAGTAGATGGGCAAAGTAGCAATTATGGAAACTTTGAGGTTGACAGTCCAGAGGAGAAGGGTGTCATGAAGAGGAAAGGCTCAACAAAATATAAATCAGATGAAGCATTGGAGAGGGAAGACTCATCTCGTGTGCTCATGGAGGACAAAGAAGTGGATGCTGAGACCGTTCTGGGCTCTGTGAAGAATGACAACGAGCGATTTATGAAAGGTTAGCCTGCTTTATTATTTTAATTACAGTAAGAAAATCATTTCTGCTCCATTTTTGCGCTCAATGACAAAATTCTGCCACTGTTTGCTGTGCCCTTCTATGTATTTTATTGTTTACCGTCATTTCATGGCTGTAGCTGTAGCAATAAAATTGTGTAAACAGAAATAGTCTTTCATTGCTGTATCAATGAAGTTTTGTAAACAGAAAGATAAGGTAGGATGAGTATTTTTGAACCTTATTGTTGCATGGGATGAAAGAAAATAGTGTGAAGACAGTCATAGGAGTATGATTATTATGTTTTTGTGTTTCTGAACACTTGTAATTTCAGATGTATAAATATTTTAGTTTGTGTTTTATATTTCTTGTATCATTTAAGTTTCTAATAATTGTTTATTACATTTATTTTTCCCACCATCCATGAATATATTTTTTAAAGAACCTGGTCCAAAGTATTAAAATTGATGCTTGGGATTTATTTTGTTAGTTGCAGCTTCTTGTAAATGTGATTTTAAAGTTTTAGGAAAATATATTTTTTTTTAAGTTATTGTTGATGTTATAATTATGTCTATTTCTGGAAAGGATGAATAGTTAATTTCTTATAGCTACCATACTTAAGCAAATATTGTTATTAAAGCAACTTTTGATCCCAACTTGTTTGAGCAAAATGTCACACACTAACCTATCTCAAGTCACATGTGTGACTTTAGCACAATCCTTGGCCTAAATCAGTCTAACCCTCACAACACTTTGACTTATAAGCAAATAACACCCTTGGAAGAAGAATAGGGAGAAGTATTGGAGAAATGAACACTTCACTAAGAAATAAGGATTACAATACTTGAATGCTTGGAAGCTTGGAAGGTTTTCTTGGATGAATGCTTGGATGCCTCTAAATGAGGGAGAGAGACTCCTATTTATAGTCCTCCCCAAGTCTAAGATAACTTTTTAGATTACATTAGAATTGTCTAGTTTCTAAATAGGTCTACAATATTCTCTTATATACATACATAGCCCTAGGCCTTTCTAGGTTATACTTAAGTTATCATTGGAGCTATTTTCTTATAACATTCTGTAGGATGTGGTGGAGTGTTCTAGAGTTGCTTGGATTGCTCTCATCCACCTTATCTTTTATAGAATTTTTCATCCCATGGTTGTCTTGCCAATTTCTTAAATATGGTGGAGCGTGACACTCTCCCCTACTTAAGCTCACAATGCTTTTATTGCAACTTTCACTTGGTACCATCAATTTTTTCTTTTTACTTGTGTCTTCAAGTCTCATTTTCTTGTCTACCCGTAGTGACACTCGAACCAGCTCTCTTTGCTTGCTCACAGACTTGGCAAACTTGGGTTTTTTCCCTGGTTCTATTGGGTATCATGCAGCATGACTTCATGGTTGGTGACTCAGTTCTTGGCTCCAGCCTAATATAATGCTCTTTATGCCTTCTTGGTGGTAATTTTTTTGAAACACCTTTAGGTTCCTCAAGTAGTGCCGCCACTTCCCCTGGCATGTCATCTTGGAGCTTCCCTTCCTCATTGGAGTCATGAAAAATAGCCAAGTAGCTCTCTTCATCTCGTGGAATGACCTCCTTGAATTGGATGGCCGCCGACATTTTGACTTCTTGCTTGTTAGCCCTTGTCGCCAATTTTAAATAAACTTGATTCCCTTCAATGATGCATGTGCTATTGGGAAAGAGCATTGAGAATGCTTTTGCTTGATCTAAGAAGTTTATCCCTAGAACAACTTTATAATCATCCGTTGGAATGACAAAGAAGACTAAGGTATCTGATCACTCTCCAATACTGGTCTTTACTCTCTTGACTATTCCATGGATTGGCATTGCTGCTGAATTGACTACCTTGATAAAGTATCCTGCTTCAATCATCCGCAAACCCAACCATTTTGCTTCTTTAACAGAAATGAAGTTGTGAGAAGCACCCGTGTGTACCATTGCTCTATGATCTTCCCGCCTATTATCATCTCCACAAAGAGTAACTCGTTTGCTTGAGGTTTTGTTGGAGCTTGCATCCCATTCAACAGTTGTAACGACCCCACCTGTGTTGTCATATCACCACTTTCTTCCTCCTTATGGCTTGCAAGGAGAGAGTTTAGAGTTTTCTTCTGAGGAAAATTCCTTGCCCAATGTGGTCCATCACAAAGAAAACATTTTTTTTGTGGTTTAGTTTTGCCATTTTTAGACTTCCATTGACATTTTACCTTGGGTGAAGTCGATTCATGGGCAGATCTCTTTCTCGTGTTGATCGTTGTCTTCTCCGCTTTTGACATGAGTACTTTTTTTTCTTTAGGCTTTGTGGACTCTTTTAAGTAATCAATTAGGCTTTCGGTAACTGCGATGATAGTGGCAAGATCTTGCACTCCTTGCCTTCTAAGCTTAGTCTTTGCCCGCTATTGGACTCCATCCATGAAGTTGAAAAGAGCATTCTTGTCAGACATATCGGGAATTTCAAGAACTCTTTTAAGTAATCAATTAGGCTTTCGATAACTGCGATGATAGTGGCAAGATCTTGCACTCCTTGCCTTCTAAGCTTAGTCTTTGCCCGTTATTGGACTCCATCCATGAAGTTGAAAAGAGCATTCTTGTCAGACATATCGGGAATTTCAAGAACCAAGCTTGTGAACTCCATAATATATTCATGAATTGATCCCTCTTATTTAAGTCTTCGCAATCAGGCTCTAGCCTCATTCTCTTTCTCGATATCTCCTCATCTTCTTCTCCATCACAACATACCGATGTCTGAGAGATAAAAGGTTGCAAATTGAATTCTTGCATTTTCATTTGTAATCCTCATTGCTCTAAAGTATTGCTCAAGTCCCCATAGAAATTGTCATTTTCCTTTGCATTGTGAGCTCCTCCAAAACTCTTTGGTTTTGACACTTCAATCGTTTGGCTTCGAAGGTATGATGGTTGGTGGATGTCGCTATTGCCCTTTTACATTGCGAAATGTCTCTGTGCATCTCCTTCAATCTAGCACGTATGCCGCTCATCTCATCTTATGGGTTCTTTGTACCTCTTGGAATTCCCCCATCAAATCCTCCCGCATTTTAGCCATTTGGTCCCTTAAAGACTCCTCCAATTGGAGCATCATATGTCTGATCGTCGAATGGATTATGATGTCCTCCTCCTCGAGTCCATCAAACTTTTAGCCAAGATTCTCTATCTAGGTCTCACGCCATTCATTGCCTCCTCTAAACTTATCTTAAGTCACCCGTGTGGCTTTATCGCTCTTTCTTGGCACTAAATCAGCCTAACCCTCACAACACTTGGACTTATAAATACACAGCACTCTTGGAAGAAAATGAGGAGAAGTACTGAAGAAAAGAACACTTCACTAAGAAAGAATGATTACAACACTTGAATGCTTGGAAGGTTTTCTTAGATAAAAGCTTGGATGCCTCCAAATGAGGGGGAGAGACTCCTATTTATTTCTTCTCCAAGCCTAAGAGAACTTTCTAGATTACATTAAAATTGTCTATTTCTAGATAATTCTACAATATTCTGTTATATGCATACATAGCTCTAGACCCTTCTAGGTTATACTTAAGTTGTCATTGGAGCTTTTTCTTCTAGCTTTCTCCAGGATGTGGTGACATATTCTAGAGTTACTTGGATTGCTCTCATCCATCTGATCTTTTCTAGAATCTTCCATCTCGTGGTTGTCTTGCCAATTTCTTAAATATGGCAAAGCGTGACAGAAGGCCCAAAATGGTCTCTCAACTATCAACAAGTCAAGTGTTCTATTTAGTACTAGAATTTTAAAATGATCCATTTTAGTCCCTGATTATGAAAATTGTTTCTAATTTGTCTCTAAATTAAATTTTATGGTTAAAGTTAACATGACAAATTAATTTTCGGGTATTATAGAAGTAAGAATTTTAAATGAAAATTTATTTTTATCATTACTATACTTTCATATGCAAAAAGTATTTAATCAATAGAATTAATATAGACTCAAAGTCGAAAGAATATGAAGCTGAATAAATGATTTTCAATTATGTTAAATTCAACAATTTTATTGAAATAGATGAGTACCAAATACTCCATTAGAATTACACACAGACCACTAATCATTTGCTAGCTCTTTATGCCGTTACAATTCTTCAAGGTAGCCATTCTCATTAATATTATTTTGCCTCTAAACGGCACACCTGGGTCTGAAAGGTGGTACACTCCGACAACGCAGAATTTGATAAAAGCAATTTAACTTATTTTGTATTCTCAAAAAGAAGAATTTGTATAGAAATAATAATGAAAACATGCAAAAAAAAAAAAAGATAAAATTTATTTCATTTTATATATAAGAGTTTGACAACTGATACAATAGAAGGAAATAAAAAAGTGATTGAAATAAATTGAAATAACAGTAGAGAAATAACTACCTAGATAACTAATATGAAGCTGAAATTTTCAAAAACAAATATAAAACTGGAATGTTTGTTCCAGTGGAGACGATCCACCAAGTGACTGAGTAAAATCTGCTATATAAAATTTCAATGAGTGATTTTGAGTAATCATACCCAGTAAATAATAATTATTTTTTAAAGTATAAATGACATGAAACTGATGCATGCATTGTGAACAATAAAAATGGACAATTTAAGTCATGCACTTTTCAGCATATATTTATTCCTGTGAGATAATGCCTTGAAGAAATAAGTGCTCCTTAAGCCAATAAAAGAAATTAAAAATATGTGAGTTGTACCAACAAAAGAGTAAGTTGTCATGAAATGCAATTTTCAAATGGATATTAACAATAGATATTGGATTGTCCCTTTTCAAAGAGACCTATATATATATATATTATATATATATATATATATATCTTATCATGAAATAAAATTATCTAGTAAAAGTTCTCTATTTGTAAAATTGCCATTACATCAAATGCACATTACCAAATAAAAAACAATATTTTCATTGACTGCAAAATTATAAAACTCCAAAAATCTCATTACACATATTTATTTATTTATAGTTTCATTCAAAATATATAAAACAAAATTTATACAAAAAAACTCCAAAATTATAAAACATGATAATCTATGACATCTTCCAAATGTCATCCAATCAACATTCTTTCTTTTGGAAGTGTAGAAATATTAACAAACAAAAAATCATATTACTACAACATAAAGTAAATTGCTTTATTTGTTATAAAATTTTATTTATTAGTTTACCAAAAGGCATTTATTAGGCGATCCTTGATTTGATGTATGATTAAATCCAATATTGATGTTGTTTGTGAATCCTAATTTCAATCAATATCTCTTAATTGAACATACAAAAGAAAATTATTTAAATAAATATTTGA